TATTGCTTGAAGTTCTGCTCTCAGGGTGGAAGTTTCTTTTTTTCAGAGACCACCCGTAGAATGGATATAACCCTATCATAGTCCTCTTAGGATTCATGACAATGGAAGGTCAGTTGGAACTAGGCATTCAAGGTCCTCAGACCTTTCTGTATCCTCCTATATAGTAGGGAGAGAGAGAGAGAGAGAGAGAGAGAGAGAGAGAGAGAGAGTGTGTGTGTGTGTGTGTGTGTGTGTGTGTGTAGAGAGAGAGAGAAAGAGTCTGGTTCTCTGAGTCTTATTCTTTCTGATTAGTACCTCCACTTTTCACATCAGTGATTTAGTGAGATCCTGAATTCAGTGATGTGATGATTTATTGCCCTTTGAACTCCCCCCCACCCCTCAGCTTATCCTGTCAGCTGCAAGAGATTCAAAATACGTATTTGATGCATATCGGAAGTCCCTGAGTTTTCAGCTTAGCCTGGAATCAGGAATTTAGAGACTGAGCATGTAATTCTTTTTTTCCATCCCTCTTTCAGGTTCTCTAGGCATCTCACTTTCCTGTGAGCTCTTTGATATCTTTTCAGTAAATTCCTTTTTTAACCAGTTAGTTTCTTGTACTTTGAACCAAGAACCCAGACAGTTAAAGACATAGGTATTAGAAGATGAATGTAGGAAACAGAACCTTGGGAAGCTATGAAAATAATAGATGGGTTGGAAATAACTCAGGTTCCATTTATTTCCAAAATGTCCTTCAGACCTCGGAGGCAGTAACAACAGGTTCCTTAAATCTTCAATGGAAAAACTTCATTCTAGTGAACACAGGTAATAATATAGTCATTTCAAAAATTATCATTTTGAAAATTAATGAGACTTGAGTCTTTGAACTGTCTGGACTTTTTTTTTTAAAGATTTTATTTATTATTTATTTGATAGAGAGAGCATGAGCACATAACTAGGCAGAGCTGGAGGCAGAGGGAGAGGGAGCCCAACATGAAACTCAATCCTGGGACTCCAATCCTGGGACTCCAGGATCATGACCTGAGCCAAAGGCAGGTGCTTAACCAACTGAGCCACCCAGGTGCACCTTTTTTTTTTTTTTTTTTTTTTTTTTTTTTAAAGAAAGTAAGCTCTGCACTCAATGTGGGGCTTAAACTCACAACTCTGAAATCAACAGTTGTTTCCCTACCAGCTGAGCCAGCCAAGAGCTCCCTGTCTAGCTTCTTGATTGCAAATAAGAGAAACTAACTCTGGTTGCAAAAGGAGTTTATCAGAAGGATATTGAAGGACTCACAGAAACAGTAAGAGTCTCGGATGTTTAAAAACAATGTAGATAGGAGCCAAGGCAAATCTGGAGAGGCAAGGACGAGAAACCCAGCCATCATCTTTTATCAGAATTAGTTTGGCCACAATGCCAATGGCTTCTACCACTGCTCTTACAGATCAACATTGCCACTAGACATTGTTTCCACCAGCTATCACTACAAACCACTCTAGCTGCCATGAATGAATCCTGAGCGCCTCTTGTCTTTGTGTCATTCTCTCCACATTCAAAGTCATGAGTTGAGGCAGAGTCTAAGTCATACACAGGGTGCCGGCTATTGGTTTTCATAGAGTGAGAGGGGTGTTCTATAAAAGCCTGGCATTATGTAGGAGGCTAGTCACTTCTGCAATGGAAATTGTAATCCTTTGGCCCACTTACATGCAATGTAGAAGTCTTCTTTTTCAATATGTATGGCTTTTCTTTCTTTTTCTTGCTTTATGATACTTACTAGGACCTCCAACCCCATGTTTAATAGTATTGGTGAGCGTTAACACCCTTGTCTTCTTCCTGGTCTGGAGGAAAGCATTTAGGTTTTCACTATTAATTTGTGGTATTAGCGCTAGGGTTTTCCTGGGTGCCACTAATCAAATTGAGGTTGTTCCTATTCATTACTCTTTTGTTGAGAGTTTTGATCATGAGTGGATGTTGAATTTTGTCCAATGCTTTTCTGCATCTATCAAAATGATTGCATGTTTTTCTCATTGTTTGCTAATATGATGAATTATATTGATTGATTTTTGAATGCTGGACCAATCTTTAAATCTTTACTTGGTCATGGTGTATTATCTTTTTTTAATATATATACAGTTGACCCTTGAACAATGCACTGACCTCTTACACAGTAGAAAATCTGTTTAACTTTTAATTGCCCCAGAATTTGCCTAGTAATAGTCTCCTGTTGATTGGAAGCCTTACCAATGACATAAACAGTCAGTTAACATGTACTTTGTATGTTATATGTATTATAGACTCTATTCCTTCAATAAAATAAGCTAGAGAAAAGAAAATGTTATTAAGTAAATCATAAGGAAAGGAAAATATATTTATATTACTATACTGTATTTATTTTTAAAAATCTGCATATAAGTGGAGCCACACAATTCAACCCCATATTGTTCAAGGGTGAATTCTGTGTGTTAATCTTACATAAGTAGTTTAAGAATGTGTTCATGAGGGATATTGATCTCATACACCCTTTCTCTGATTTTGGTATCAAGGTAATGGTGACTTCATGAGCCTAGTTGGAAAGTGTTCCATCCTCTTCTCTATTCTGGAAGAGTTTGTATATAATTGGTATTAATTCTTTTCTTAAATACTTGGTGGCATTTACCAGTGAAGCTATCTGGGCCTGGAGTTTTCTTTGTGAGAAGGTTTTTATACTGTGAATTCAGTGTTTTAAACAGAATATTCACGTATTGGTTTCAGCTTGAATAATCATAGGCAGTTTGTCTTTCAGGGAATTTATCCATTTGATCCCAGATATTGAATGTATTGCCTTAAAGTCATTTATAATTCCCTTATTATCCTTTAAATGCTTGTAGGATCTATAATGATGTGTCCTGTCTCATTCCTGATATTGGTAATTTGGGTCCTTCCATGTTTTTCTTGATTAGCCTCACTAGAAACTTTTCTATTTTATTTTCTTTTCAAAGAATCACCTTTTGATTTTATTGGTTTTCTTTATGGCTATTCATTTTCTGTCCCTTAATTCTTATTTATTATTTTCTTCCTTCTGCTTACCTGAAATCTAATTTGCTCTTCTTTTTTCAATTTTTTAAGATAGAAGCTTTAGATCACTAATTTGAGACATTTCTTCTTTTCTAACATGAGCATTACATTTATTTAGAGCAGAATTTCCCTCAAAGAGATGCTTTAGCTGCTTCTCACAAATATTGATATATTGTGTTTTATTCAGTTTGAAATATGTCTGATTCTCTTTTTATTTCTCATTTAGCCTCCTGTTAGTTTAATTTCCAAATATGTATGGATCTTCCTGGCAGCTTTCTGTATTTTTTCCCCACATATTTTTGTTGCTTTTGGCTTTTTGATAATGATTTCTGGGAAAATGACACTCATTCTGAGCCCATGTTGTATGTGAGGAGCCCACAGGCACCCCATAGGCTACGGAACTTATGGGTAGGTGTATGTGTCCACTCTGGGCTGGTTTCTCGTGGCTGGCATATGAGAGGTGGGGCCAGCCTTGTTGCCACTACTGCCTTGTTTCAGTAGCAAGGCTGAAGATGGGAATTTGTTAGAAGTCTGCCCATGAGGCAACCGCATCCCCAGTCTCCCTCTACCATGGTGCACCTAAGAACTCTGGTAGCCAGGCATCTACCCTTACGTAGGAAACACAATCTTCTTCAGAGAAATCGAATGGCTCCAGAGAAAACCCTAATGCCTGAGCTAAACCCCTTTCAGGAAGAATGTCATATTTCCTGCTGCCTATCTGTATTCTACACAGAACTTCGACTTATGTCCTAAATGTGGTATGCCAGGACTTACTAGAATTGAGCACGATCAATTTTGGTATATTTATAGATGACCCATAGATGAAGAGGTATAGTTGCCTTCTAAAAGATGGAACCCTACTCAGAGCATCAGAGCTATTCTGTTAAATGCAGTCATTTATTTCTAATGGAGCAACTTACTTTTAATGGACCAACACCCCAAAATGTGAATGACAGTTTGCCAAGTGAGCAGATTGCTATTAATTTTAATTTTCTTCATGATGCATTTCTGTATTTTCTAACTTCTTACAGTGAAAATATATTAGTAGTGTGTTCAGATAAAATAGTTTAAAATATTAAGGTAAAAATTAGAATTGTGAAAAAATATAAGTGTCTGATCTAATCTAGTGAGTGTGACTTGAGATACAGGCGCTGTGGGACGCCTGGGTGGCTCAGTGGGTTAAGCCTCTGCCTTCAGCTCAGGTGGTGATCTCGGGGTCCTGGGATCAAGGCGCCGCATTGGGCTCTCTGCTCAGCGGGGAGCCAGCTTCCCCCCTCTCTCTCTGCCTGCCTCTCTGCCTACTTGTGATCTCTCTCTCTATTAAATAAATAAATAAAATCTTTTTTAAAAAAAAGGTATAGGCACTGTGAAACTAATGATTTAACAGCAAACTGGGCTAATCAGAATTGTCTCTAAAGGTGTTTGTAAGAGAAGGGATTGACAAAAGCTTTTAATAATATCAATTTGACTTTTTTTTTTTTTTTAAAGATTTTATTCATTTATTTGACAGAGATCACAAGCAGGCAGAGAGGCAGGCGGGGGCGGGGTGGGGGGAGCAGGCTCCCCGCTGAACAGAGAGCCCGATGCGGGGCTTGATCCCAGGACCCTGAGATCATGTCCTGAGCCGAAGGCAGAGGCATTAACCCACTGAGCCACCCAGGTGCCCCTCAATTTGACTTTTTCAAGAAAAACAATTGCAGGAAGCCCAGAAGAGGCCATCTGGCCCAACTCCTCACATCAGAGTTCCTGAAGAAAGTTAAAATTATCCTGTAGTTAGGGATCGAACAGGATAAGAGTATCATTGTCTCTTCTGCTTACCCCTTAGCCCCCATTCACTGGTGATGGTGTTCTTGCTGGGGGAAGGACAGGAGGTTTTGAAGATTTGCTTACTACCTTCACTTTTAGAGAGGAAACGGATGCCTATGGTCTATTTATTCACTGACATACTTGTTCCTCTCTGTCCTGTTCACAGGCAGCTGGCTAAGAGCCTTGGTCAGGCTGGTGAAATTGAGCCTGAAACAGAAGGAATACTAACAGAGTATGGTGTGGATTTCTCTGATTTCTCTTCCGAAGTTCTAGACTGTCTCCCTCAAGGCCTGCCCTGGACAGTCCCACCAGAGGAATTCAGCAAGAGAAGAGATTTAAGGTAAATGTCTGAAACTCTTTAAGAACAACATGTTTCTACCTTTCTGTCTTCTAACTTCACTTTCTTAGGGATGGGCCTCAGATGTTTCCATCTTTCTACCAACTTTCAAATTCAGTTCAGTTGAGACTTAAGTGCTCTGTACCAGAGGTGGGCAAAGTATGGCCCACACGCTAAATCCAGCCCACTGCCTATTTATGAATAGCCTATGAGCTAAGCATGGTTTTTGTATTTCTAAATGACTGAAAAAAAAATCAAAACAAAATAATCTTTCATGAAAATTATATGAAATTCAAATTTCAGTATCCATTAAATTGTATTGGAACACAGCCATGCTTATTTGGTTATATTTTGTTTATGGCTGTCTTTGTGCACTGCAGCATTAGGGTTGAATAATTGCAACAGAGACCATATGGCCTGGAAAGGGCCCTGTGGCCCTTTATAGAAAAAGCCTGCTCCCATTTGTTCTTGACCATTCTAATTTCAGAAGGTAACAGTTGCCATCTCTTTTTCTCATTGTTATGTCCCCTTAGGTCTGATGGAATAACAACAATGTTATCTGGTCAGAAGTACCTTCCTTTAAATGGGCCTCTTCAGGCACAGAGCAAAGGATTCAAAGCTTCTGTGCTTGGAGCTTCATTTTAAAGCTTTACTTTTAGGTCTGGAATTTGTTGGAAAGTACTTTTGTGGTATTTTTATAACAACATCTTCTTTGAAGATGTTTCTTCATTGTGGGATGTTAGTTCTTTTCTGATATTTCTCTTCAGAATTTGGTTTCAGTACTGGCATTCATTTTGGATGCCACATGGAGATATTTAGAACCAAGAAACTTTTCATACAACCCACTGAGGCTGTGGAAGGTTTTCTGCTAAGGTCATCCCATGTCAGAGTCTTTTCCACCACACTTGCTCACTTCATGCAGCTGAACTTATGATTCCTTCGCTCTTGGTGCCCCTTACTCCATCTAGTTCGAGAATCCTCCTTCTCTGCTCCCTCTTGCTATTGTATCTTTTTCCTTAAAGATACAAATGCCTTTTTTTCTTTTCTTGCCAAGGGTAGGCAAGGAAAAGGAGATGACAGTCGCCTTTCCTTCTTGTTAGTAGCTCTGATGGACCACACGTTTATATTTGCAGTCACTTAACTCAAGTTGCTGTCCTGGCTTTCAGTAGTAACCACCACTCGTGGAACTCCTGCTGGTCCGTGATCTCATCAGGGGCTTTGGGGTCTTGGGCCCAAACCACTCTCTCTGAACCATCATTTTCTCATATACAAATTGAAGGGCTCATTTGCTGAGGTCTTTCCCTAAACCTCGGAATCTATAAAAAAAAAAATCTAGTAAGAATGAATGGTTGAACTTAATTGTTTGAAGTTTAAGTCAGTCTAGTCATTCTGCAGTAACTATCAACATTTGAAATGTACCTACCCTTTCACCCAAAAACTTGACTTCCAGAAACCCATCCTACTCAAAGCATACAAGGATAGATGTACAAGAATGTTCATTGCTGCTCTGTTGTAAAAGTGACACTGTTCATGTCCCTCAACAAAGGGATGGCTTTTTAAAAAAATTTATTTATTTATTTGAGAGATAGAGAGAGGGTACACAGGCATGGTAGGGGCAAAGGGAGAGTCTCAGTCAGACTCCCTGCTGAGTGCAGAGCCCAACTCGGGACTCAGTCCCATGACCCTGAGATTATGACCTGAGCCTACAGCAAACATCGGACATTCAATCGTCTGAGCCACCCAGGCACCCCAGCAAAGGGATGGTTAAATAACCTTGTCATACCAGCAAGGTTGCGTTCCCTGCAGCTGCCAAAAGGAACTAGATCCATGTGGACTGTCCTAAAGGGGCGGTTGTCATCTGTTGCCAAGTAAAAGAAACAAGTTTCAAAGCAGCGTGAATATGAGCCTATTTTTAATAAAGCCAAAGAATATAAAAATACTGTTCAAAAGCATATACCCATGCATATGTATATATGCATATACAAAAATATATATGCATAGAAAATGGTCTGGAAGGAAATACATCGAACATCAATAGTCGTGATCATGGGTAGACTTGGTAGGGTAGTAGGAGGTAGAGAGGGGCAGTATTTCACTTCATTTTATAAATTGCTCTATTTTTCAAATTTTTTTTTAAATATTTTATTTATTTATTTGACAGAGAGAGACCACAAGTAGGCAGAGAGGCAGGCAGAGAGAGAGGGGGAAGCAGGCTCCCTACTGAGCAGAGAGCCTGATGCGGGGCTCGATCCCAGACCCTGGGACCATGACCTGAGCCGAAAGCAGAGGCTTTAACCCACTGAGCCACCCAGGTGCCCCCAAATTATTTTTTAAAATAACTTTTATATCTTTTAAAAATTATACATGGGACTGTCAGAAAAGAGAGGTGCTTGATCTTTTCTAGCCTGATTCCTAGCCTACAGATAAATAATAAGGCATTTCAACAGTCCGCCAGCCCAGCGTGTTCTCAGTTCTACTCGGGTGGTTCCACGTTGCCTTTTTCTTTGGCCCCAGTTGCCTCTGAGTTAGACCACAGAACAGGAGGCCTTGCTTTGCAGAAGACCTCTGTTAAAATATGCTTGTGTGTGCTGTGCAAGGATTCACAGATCCAGGGAGCTTATAGGACAAGCTGTAGTATACTGCTATGAGCATAGTATCAGTGATTTTTTTTTAATCACTTTAACCTCCCAACACGTTTTCATTGCCTATTATCGCTAGGATTATGTTTCTAAAATTCAAATCTGATTTCTTTTACTCCTTTAGCTTAAAATCTTTCAACTGTTTCCCAATACCTAAAGTAGTAATCTCTAAAGTTTTTTGAAACATGCATTCCCAATAACATTTATGTCTTTATTTTAAAATCACAAGCATATTTACCACTTTGCTTATTTATTATGTACATTATAAATATACATAAAAGTGGAAAAATGAGAATAAAATAAATTTTGAAGATACTTTCCTTTAAAAAGGTATAGTAAACTGTTCACATTCATAATTTTACTTTTGATGAGAGCAGTGTGATTGAAATTCATGTTTTTTTTTAAATTTTTGCTTTCACAACCTGTGATATAGAAACACAAAGTTCTGATTATAAGCTCTGTATATTTTGATACTTAGTTTTAGATTTAATGGTTATCATAACTGAAAAAGATACCTCAGAGGAAGATAATTGAAATTCCTAAATCATAATATTCATGTTTTAGTCCTATTCACTGATTATATTCAGAAATACAATCCAGCTAATAAATTTTCATCTTTCATGATGTCAGTCAGTTCTTGTGAACTAATTAAAAGGTGCTATATTTTTAGAGTTAAAAAAAATAGGTTCATAGTCTTTGGTTATTCTTCAGTTGGCATCTTGAAAAAATAGGTAGAAAATTCTCTCACAGAGTTTAAGTGTATAGAGATGAGTAGTTTTGCAGTAGTGCAATCTTAGGCTTAGATTGTTTTAGGTCTCCAAGTTTATGACATTTCAAATGCCCTTTTTAAAAATTTTGTCTTCAAAACCTGAGTTTTTTTGTTTTATTTTGTTCAAAAATCAGTATTTTTTTTCTTGTTAAAATGTCGCCTTTACCTTGAAGTAACAGATTAAGTGTTTTTATTTTTTTCTAAGGATCTGCTGGGCAGCATGTGGTTGGCAGTCATTGTTTTGAAATCATACATGTGGCTGGTGATGAATTTATATTAGGGGCAGAAGAAATGTCAACTTTGCCATTTTAGTAGTAGTATTAGTAGAATTAGTATTATTAGTTTAGTAGTATCTTCAGTCTGTGGATCTTTGTAATAATATTTTTAGCCACTTGCCTGTTTTGTAAGGATTAGCTTAGCTGAAACTAAGTAATTTCCATAAATCCGTGTGTGGGGCATGAGCAAATCCCATTGATCACAGTTGGCTGAAAGCACAGGAAGTAATGAGGACACAAGTGTCATTGGCTTTCTGTTCTGGAACACTGACGCTTTTGTCTGGACACTTCACTTATCTCTTGACCCATATACCTTATGAGGGTACCAAGATTAATTTTTTATGTATTTATGTATGTAATCAGTTAACTGCTTAATTTTTACAATAAAAGATGAACATAAAGAGAAGTCTGTGGTATGCTGAAGTCTTTTATCTGATTACCTTTTCCTCCTCTTCAGTCTTAAGATAGATTCACCTAGTTTTTCAGCTGACAGATATTAATTGAATACCATCCATGGGTAGTGGAGATTCGATAATTGGGTAGGATTGTGCTGGAGGGGAGAGTTGCTTGGTACAAGCGTTTGTAGTACTGTGATTTCTTCTGCTCAGAGGTGCAGTGCCTTCAAAGAGGTTTTTATCAACATTACTTTCCTAGGAATGTCACAGGAATTTGGAATGAGTCCAAGCACCCACTAAAAAACATGAATAAGTTAATACATATTCTGTAAACTCCTAAATGAAACCCTCTATGTCTTTTTCCTTTTCCTGTCTTCTCTCCTATATACATCTATTTATACATATTATTTTTATACGGATATATGTAATATATGCCAAATTCTAAGTTAGTTACTGGAAATACAGAGACAAAAAAGGCCCAGTTCTTGTTCTTTAGGACTTTATTCTTTCTCAGGGAGACAAATTACAGCAAAGTATGGCACGATGATACCAGTATGATACCAGTATGAGCCACTGCCAAGGGCATTGGTGTTTGAACCGGTATCTGAAAAGTGAGCAGGCATAGAGGGAGCTAGAGGGACTAAAGCAGTCTTCATTTAGTGATAAGATGTGGCTGCAGAAAAGGTGACACATTCCTGTAAGACTCCCAGATCCTTCAGTACCAGGGCTCACAATTCCTATGCTTTTGATAGCTTCTTGATCCCTGCTGCTAGGCCACTCTGCGATGCACCCTGCAGCGTTCCTCTGGCTCTAGCTACGTAAGGACTTCTACATACCCATTTAGGTTTGGTATTTGAACAATTATATTTGGAACAGAAAAGTTCCATCAATCTTTAAACCTCATAATCCAATTATGTCAGTAAAA